CAAACTGTCTTCTTTAAAATATATTGTAGTTTGGGGATCAAAGGGAAGTCTGAAGTGACAAAATCAGAGTTGTAAAGTGGATGGGGTATGGTTTCCCAATGAAATTCTCATCGGTGCATCATCGTGATGGAAAACCTCCTCAGTGCAAATTTCCTGGCCTTTTCTCAATAACGGTGTTTTCAATCTTCTAATAAACCTCAGCATCTTCCAGTGTCCTTCAAGAACATTATCGAGATTACTCCTTTGGGAGTCCTCCAAACATAACCATAACCTATCGTGCTAACTTCTCTATCTTGCATTTAACTGGTTCAGCAAATCTCCTTTGAAGCCACTGTTTTGATTAGACCTTACTCTCTGGATGTGAGGTGTAGTCAAATTAATATGGCCCTTCTAACAATCATCCGCTTTGTGACGTATTACAAATTCTGGCCTCTATACCTGTGGGTAGAATCCCATTCTGGAGGATTCTCTGCTATGCCAATGGACAGGATGACAGTGGTGCATGGATCAAGAAAGGTAGCTGTGAGAATAGAACATGGGAGTACTGCACGGTTTAAAATCATGAAAGGTGTACACAGAGCTGTGGAGGCAGGCAGAGTTCCAGCAGCTAGGTAGGTGGAGCTGCAGAGAGATTTCCCAGAATCCCTCACTCTTATACAAAAGGCCACACCCCCAAAGAGGTATCATCAAGCTACCACCCCGAGTCATGAATATCTATCTAGTCAACATAAAATCATCTACCTAACACAAAAGTAGAAGCTCAAAATCCATTCACAGGACCCCCACATGGATTAAGCTTCCGGTGAATCCCCTCTGATGTCAGCAGCCTTGCTATCAGACAGAGACCATTTTTAAGTCCATTAAGGCGATTGTAATTTGGTTAAAATGTAACACTTTATCACTTGATCTCCTTTTTGAGCCATTTTAAACATGTTCATTTTTAATATTTTCAGCTTTCTTTTCTATTGTTTTTCTATGCATCATTGTTAATTTGTTATTTATGTTTTGTATCATTTTCTGTGTATAAAATCCGGGATAGGTAAATCTAAAGAGACAGTAACTGGATTAATTACCTAGGCATGTGCCAGGAGAGGTTGGGAGAAAATGGGGAGCGAATGAGAAAGATGTTTTGAAATTGATTATGGTAATGATGGCACGTCTTCTTATTATGATTGAATTATTACATTGTATGATATGTGAATTATATACTTTTTTTTTAGAATGGGAAAGTGTAGTAGACTTGTACCTACTACTTGAATTTTGAATAAACCTGACCCTGTGCACAAGAGTCAGTCCTTGCTTTTGTGGCTACAAAAGGCCCAAGTAACTAGAACACACTCTCTTCGTTTAAAAATACTATTATAATAAAAAACTTCTGGGGAAAAAATTGTGAGTCAGGGTTGCATCATCTCACCTTATTATTCAATCTGTAGGCTGAGCAAATCAACAAATAAACTGGTCTAGCTGAAGAAGAATGTGGCATCAGGGTCAGAGACGAGCTTATTATTAACAACCTGAGATAGGCAGATGACAACCTTGCTGGCTCAGGAGTACTTGACGCACTTGCTGATAATCAAAAATTGCAACCTTAAATATGGATTACAATTCAGTGAAGGAAACAAAACAAAACACAACCACACAACTGGACCAGAAGGTAACATCATGATAAATGTAGACAACATGGACGTTGCTTGGATCCACAATCAAGACTCATTGGAAGAGCAGTCAGAGATCAAATGACACGCTGCATTGGATAGACGTGCTGCACAGACCTCTTTAAAGTATTAAACAACAAGGAGATTACTTTGAGGACTAAGGTGTGCCTGGCCCAGGCCAGGATACTGTCAATTGCTTCCAGGTCTTGTGTGAGTGGGATATTGACTGAGGAAGACCAGAGAAGAATTGATGCATTTGAATTATGGTGCTGCTTAAGAGTGGTGACAGTACCATAGACTGCGGAAGAACAAACAACTCTGTTTTGGAAAAAGTAAGAGCAGAATGTTCCTTAGAAGCAAGAACGGTGAGACTTTATTTCACGTGCCTTTGACATGTCATTTGGAAAGGCTAGTCCCCAGAGGGCAATACTGCTTGGCAAAGTGGAAGGACATCATAAAAGAGAGGCATTCAAGATGGGCTAGCCCACTAGAAGAAATAACAGGTCAAATACAGCTCAAATATGACAATTGTGAGGATGGTGCAGGACCTAGAAGTGCTTTGGTCTATTGTACATAGAGTTGCTATCAGTCAGAACCGTCTCAATTAAACCTAACAGCAACAAGAAATGTTCACCTTACTAGAGAGTGTGTACAGCCACCATCCTTTGTTTCCTTGGGGGTATGGTCCTGCTGGAAGAGAAAAATCATACCTCTATAAAAGCCACCCCTCTGTTTAAGAGCCATCTCAGAAGCAGGGACACACAAGAGAAATGCCAGAATCATCCAAAGAGCCACCAGTGGAGCATGCTTCAGATCTCCATCTGAAGTGGCAGACACCGAAACCAGACACACATTAGGCAGCAGCATAGGGACCAAGAGACAAAGTAGCCATGATGAGCCAGAGGCAGAGGCAGAAGACCAGGAGACAGAACAGGGGAGCAGTGCTGAGACCACAGGACTGTTAAGTAGAGGGATAAATGGGTGTGTTGGCCCATGGAGGCAGAAGCTAAGGGACAACATGGCTGAGGCTGAGAATGATGTGGCTGAGAGGCTGAGGACCAGAGATTTGACTGCTGAGAAAAGGCACTACTGTGGACAAATCATGGTATCCTTACTGCTTACTGATTCTGACTTATGGTTAACTTCCTTCATAAAACCCTTTGTCTGTGAACTCTGAGTGGCCATTGCACTGAATCGTAGGAGCCACCATTGAAGTGCAGTGCTCTGGGAGGAATGGTTGCTGTCGGGCTGGGTAAAGGAGGAAGGAGCATGGAGGCTGTCTGACCTCTGCCTCACGGCAGTAAGGAAGCCTGAGGAGACTAGATAGGGCCCACACCCATATTGTCATACTCAGGATGGCACTGGTAAATACAAGACTCATCCCCAGTGACGACAAGTTCTATAAAATTGAATTTGCTCACTTTGTGTTTAAAAGACCATTGGATCATCCCATGGGGGCTATCTTGGAAGCAACACAGTCCAGGAAAGTTGGTGTGTGACTGTGCTGTTCTAATTTCCAATCAAAGGCAAAAAGGAACTGGCTCTGTGGATCCAGCGGAGTGCAGAAAAAGGCATCCTTTGAGTCCACGATGCTGTACCACTGTGTGGAGTTAGGAATTCCCCCTAGGGTGCATGGGGGTTAGGCATTACTGGATGCAGTGGGATCACTGCTTCATTTATTATTCACAGATCTTGATCCTTCTGGGAAGACCTGTCTTTTTGACTGGTAATATTGGGGGTGTTACAAGGGGAATTAACAGGGATCAAAAGTCCATGCTGGAGGACTTTATAAATAAGGGTTGTAGTCCTTTAATGGCTTCAGGTTTCAAATGGTACTGCTGCTGGCAGGGAAACTGGATGGGATATTTTAGGAAAATATTTATAGGGGATGCTTATTTTGCTCTGCTGGGGACTTCGTGTCCCAGACTTCAGGGTTTATGGTACTTTCTCACTGTTTCTGTGGGGGGGCTTTGCAGCTTCTCTGCAGGAAGGATCGTTTAGAAAGCTAGCGTAGGGCTAGGATGAGGCCCTATGACCATGTAGGTGTATAGCTTAGACAAAACAACTCAGCCTATAAGAGTGGCTGCACATTCAGGGACGACTAGAAGGCTATGAGAGAATTAAAAGTTGTCCCAAAAGGCACCTTAAGGGCTCCATAACGTGTCCGACTACAGGGTTCCCTGGCATTCCCATGGTGCAAGTGGCTCTCAGTCCACTAGACTGCATCAGCTCCAGCATCTCCACTTGGACTCGGTTGCCTTCTTCAAGGGCCATCTGCACCAAGTACTGCTTGCAGACCTCCTTGAAGACATTGAGAATAACTGTCTGCTTGTGAATTCGGACTTGACATACGTGCCCTGGTGCTCAAGCAACAGCCACCTACGTCCCCTGGATTTGAGTGACCCCAGGAATGGCCTAAACAGAGAATTCATTACAGTTCTGCAAAAAAAAAGCTTGTTGAGACCAAGCTGTCTGCTTAACATTGAAAATGCTGAACTATGCAATTCCACGCTGAGGAGACATGGTATCAGTGGTAATGCTACAGTTTTCTTCCACCCGTTTCTAAACTTAAGCTACACTTTCTTCCTTCTTCAGTGTTATCTTCCTTCTCTGGACTCATCTTGGATGTCTTCTTGACCATCCTTAAAACACCAAGTTCATCTGAAAACGGTTGTTTTATGTGACACAGCATTCTTACACCTGTTGCAAAGCTTCAGTGATTTGGAAAGACATCCACTTGAGTTTTGTTTGAAAAAAAAATCCATGGGGGGAAAAATAGCGATGTTACCACTGACTTCAAAATGTTTTTTTTTTTTCCTTTGACACAAGTAACCTTCTTTTGATGGCAGTTAACTAGACTAAGACAAAAGAGAGCTTGTCTTCACCTATCACAGAGATATGATGACTCATGTTTTGTTTAGAAATGGGTTATCTTCAGAGATTTAAATAGTCTCCATTCTTCAGAACAATCTGTTTTCCTTTAAAAACAAAACGCCATTGTGCAAACTTTGAATAACTTTGAAAATCTGGTGACCTATGGTGGTTTGATGGCATCGTGAATTAGGAGCCAGACTCCTAATTGCAAGGTCAGCAGTTTGAACCCACCAGTCCCTCCGTGGGAGAAAGACGAGGCTTTCTGCTCTCAAAGATTTACACCTCAGAAACCGGTAAGGCAGTTTACTCTGGGGTAGCTATGAAAGAGAATCAACTCGATGGCAGTGATGTTGGTTGTTTTTTGTTTTTTAATATCCATATAAGATTAACTAGTGTTTTATTTAAAAGAATAAAATCTTCATTAAGAAATAATTGAATCTTTATGAAGTTAGAGAAAGACAAAAACCAGAATTTCAAGTATTTTCTTTATTGTAAATGTTGTATTTGTATATGAATATAAACACAAACCAATTTTTAAAAAAACTAATGAAATTCTATTAATAAATTTATTATTAAACTTTATTATGAAAGATTATGAAAAAGTTTAGTGTTTAAGATTGCACTGTCCATATCATCTCTTCCACAGTGATAATTCCTTTTTTAACACAGCTGGGAATATAACTCACAAATGCCACACTAGTTCTGCAATCCTCTAAAAACAAAACAAAGCCAAATATACTTTTTCTTCCTTCCTTCCTCCAGCCTCATTCCTTTGAAAATATTAGTGACAACTGAGACATGATCCAGCACACCTTACTAATTGTGAACATTCTACATGATATTCATAGTAAACTTTGAAAGTTCAGATTTTAGACTTAATTTTTAAAGTGCTCATGAAATTCTTTAGTGGTTTTATAATAGCTCAATTGAGTAAAGTTATTATAATTTTTTCTGCTTTATTATAGCCATGAATCAACAAAATCTCAGATTAATTCTATTAAATACGTCGTACCTTAAATCTTATCATTTATTTTAAATAATTATGCACTGCAAAAGGGTGCCATGCTTCAATATGATTCACACTAGAAATTCTAATACTAAATTAACTTTCCTAATCATTGTCATAGCTGAAGACTGTAAAAATTGAGCTAATAACTGTGTGAATGTACACACATTTTAGAGTATTTTATTCCTTTAAAATAATATAAAGTCATAGTTGTGGTTCTTGTGCAATCATCTAAAAACAATGATTGTTAGTGCATGCAAGATGAAATGTATTCATTATTGGCAGCTAATTAGTGCATTTTCACAGGTATTAGATTATTACCTGTTCAATTAGAATCTACATTAATAATAACTAAAGTAAAAAGTTCAGAATAATATTAAAGCACAAAATGAAAAAACTTAATCTAATACAGTTAAGTTGAGGATCACTACAATCACATATTCAAAATAACAATCATGTAAAATGCATTAACCTGATAGATAACCTAATACAGTTTATTCAGTGATGGAAATGGAAGCTTTATTTCAAATCTGTGGCTTAATGAATTTCCTTCTATTTACCAATACCTGATACTTAGTTCTTGTTTCTCTGTGTTAGTACAATTTTTTATCCTGGTATTTTCCTTTCATTCAGAGTTGCAGCAGGAAGAAAGGTTTATCAAGAAAACAACAAGGGGGAAAAAAATCATCAGCTCAATTCCCTGAAGACATTAGAGCAAGAGGAACGGGTAAAAGAAATCAAGTGACAGAACTATATAAAGGAGGTGCAGGAGCTCGGCGAGCAGGAATTAAATTTCCCTGAGATGATACTTTCGGTTGTGGTGGAGGTGGCCTGGGAGGAGGGTAAAGAAATAGTTAATAGTTTATATTGAATGCAATATGGTCATAGTCAATACAAGTTTAACATGACACCATCCACAGCATCCTTGACAGTACTTGAATCTACTTGATATTCTGGTATTACTATTTGTTTTACACTGAATTGTGTCCTTCCAAAATACTTGTAAAGTCTTAACATCTATGCCTGTGGTTATAATTCTGTGGGAGTTACATAATCTGTTGTCAATTTAAGAGGATTAAGAGTGAAGGGGTGTGCCACACCGAGGCAAAGCACTGGGGGAGTACAGCGGAACAGCAAGGGAATGGAGCAGCAAGGTTCCCAGGGAATGCTGAAGGCAGACTTTGGGGCCAGGGCATGGTGCCCCAACATGGAAACCACTGGAAAACACTCCTAAAGGCCAACGATCCTTGAACTAACTACAAGCTTTTCTTTCTTGT